CATAAGGTAAAATAAGAAGACTCTGTGAATACTTCGTTTTACTTATTGAATATTAGACAAATTTTTTATTGAACTCTTAGATGATGGGAATTTTGTTTGCTGAGAATGCTAGAAAAGTTTTACACTCATTAATCGTAAGTAACCATGCCAATATATTTGACAAAACGCTTTCTTCGGGCAACGATATTTCTTCCTGCTGCAGACCGTAAACATTCGGGAGGGCATTTATTTCGCTTAATAGAAGACTGGATTGTATGGTAGTTTGCCGGGAAATTTTCCGAAATGATGTCGTGAGTGGTACGCTGCCAATTCGTATTGTTGAATTAAAAATACGCGATTACGTCCTTTGCTCCTCTAAAAAAAAAAGGCTTAGTACAAATTTTCCCGTACGCAATTTTTCTTGGAGATCAAAAATAATGTACATCGGGCATTCACATTTGTTGCATTTCCCGCTGAAGATCTGTATGCAAATTTTGAATCTCTTGCCTTATTTGTTTAAACTGTTGTCGATTCTCGTACTTTTGGTCTGCAGGGGGTGTTTGGTAAATGGACGATTTGGGTGGAGAGGTGCATTGGCAATTTGTTATTGATTTGAGAAAAGATACTCGTAAACGACGAATGAAAATGTATCATTGACATGGACCATGGATGTCAAGCTAAAAATCAGACGTATATGCTTTTGTTATTATATCTATATGTTTGGCACTAATATGGTATTTTTGCACACAATTTGGAATATTTGGTGCATTCTTGATTTCCTCAATAGCTTCAGGCGTTAGAGGAGTGGCACATCTGATCTGAAAATTTTACGAACACGATTATGATCGACTATCCATAATATGATAAAAAGACATCGATAAAATTTTATTAAAAAAACAATTGGATATAAAAAAACGCTATTAATATTGGTAATATTCTGATACAATAAGATTTACATCAAATTTGGTTTATATAATAAACACATTAATTGGCGCCGTCTACTACATAATGTCGTGCAAACAGATCATTCTGTATCCATAATAACTTGGTGAATGCAATAGTTGTTTTTGTTGCAACATCATTCTCCAATCCTGCCTTGCTGATTGCGTCGATAAGGATGGTATTAACATACGAAAACAGCGCATTGCAATGGATATATTCTACGTTTATACGTGACGCTTTTCCCGGGAATGATGTATGAATTTTCCCAACATAATTGAGATAATTGACAAATCTCTCATCATATTCTGCAGTGACCAATTTCACAAGATATTTCTTAAGAAAGTCCTTTCTGAACTTAATCTGTTCGCTATTAGTCTGCAATGACTCTAATGTGTTGTCGACTTTCCCGGTGAATCCTTCATTGCGTGCAAGAAACACCTGCTTGGTTATATCGAAGGAAAATAACTTTTCGTAGACGAGTTCAACGACCTTCTCTACAAGCGGAGCGATAATGGGAGCCGAATTCTTGATTGCCTTAATATCTTCCTCACCGAATTCGACAAATTGAGCAACGTAGTTGAATCGGTATTGAAGATCCGTGTATAGTCTTTCACGGTCGATGTGGGTAATTTCTGATGTCATTTTGGTATAGTGATAAAAGCAGTTGGTTTAATAGAGAGAATACTGTAAAGTAACAGTCGTTTTGCGTGCTGAAAGTCGCGCAATTCTTATCATTATATAACAATTCCGAATGTTTTGGTATGACAGTACGAAATGATCCGTGATTCGGCGGTTTTTAGTGGTCTCATAATTTAGGCGTTTTTTTTAAAACACTACGCCTAACGTACGAGCCTTGCATTATGTAGTACATAGTCAAACCAGAAAAAAAGGTACTTTCCGTAATTCACCGACATGGTCACATAATTTAGGTACACAGCAGAGTTTTCAGACAACGTGCGTGGCTGTTGCCACACTGACTACATGTTATTTTGGTCTATTACATATAAGGCAAATGTTTATACCATAAAGGGGTTTGTTTATTATTATCGTTATGACATCTGATTCTTTGACATCATCATACGATCGATACTTCGTAACACTCGACATCATACGATTGATACTGCAGGTACAGTGTATCAAAATTGCTAATTTCTCGACAATGTCATCGATCATACGATCGATACTTCGTAATCTCGCAGGCATTGTATATCAAAATTGTTAATTTCTCGACATCATACGATTGATACTTCGTAATCTCGCAGATACAGTGTATCAAAATTGTTAAATGCCATGTCGCTACAACTATACTTTTTTTACTATTAGTAGACAGTCGGAAATTGATCATCAATGTTACAGCTATGACTTATTCAATTCATGATTTACATAGCATTTTGATATATCGTATGACATACTGTATCTGCAAGATACGAAATATCAGAATACATACATAATAATCCGGAATGATTTTTTAATATCCTGTAAACAATTTCTGCCCTATCAACTTTCGATGGCAGAATAACGGGTAACGGGGAATTAGGGTTCGATTCCGGAGAGGGAGCCTGAGAAACGGACCACATCCAAGGAAGGCAGCAGGCGCGCAAATTACCCAATCCCGACACGGGGAGGTAGTGACAATAAATAACAACACAGGTCTCTTTCGGGTCTTGTTATTGGAATGAGTACGATTTAAATCTTCCTAACGAGGAACAATTGGAGGGCAAGTCTGGTGCCAGCAGCCGCGGGTAATTCCAGCTCCAATAGCGTATATTAAAGTTGTTGCAGTTAAAAAGCTCGTAGTTGAACTTCAGGTCTGGCTGGACGGTCCGCCTTCCGGGCGAGCACTGTCTGTGGTCGGGATAGTTGGGGGTATTAGTATTCAATTGTCAGAGGTGAAATTCTTGGATTTATTGAAGACTAACTACTGCGAAAGCATTTGCCAAGAATGTTTTCAATCAAGAACGAAAGTTAGGGGATCGAAGACGATCAGATACCGTCGTAGTCTTAACCATAAACTATGCCGACTAGGAATCGGGCGATGTTGACAAAATGACGCGCTCGGCACCTCATGGGAAACCAAAGTGTTTGGGTTCCGGGGGGAGTATGGTCGCAAGGCTGAAACTGACGGAAGGGCACCACCAGGGGTGGAGCCTGCGGCTTAATTTGACTCGACACGGGAAAACTCACCAGTCAACGTTGTTTCACTAACTTTGTGACGCAATTCCGTCAGACAGTGGTAACTCTTTTGCATTATTCGGAATAAGAACGAAGCTTAAAGCATTGTTGATTATTACGTTGATGTTGGTGTGCGGGAATTCGGATTTCTGATTGTTGCGATAATTTATATGCTATATGTAATCGTTCTCCTTACCTTGCTTATCCGTTCATCGTTGATAGATATTTTACAAATCTTATGTGCAAGACGAGAAGTGGACAAAAAGATCTATGTTCTATATGGAATAAGAATTTCTTGAACATTATTCATACATTTTCTGAATACAATTACCAAATATGTTATTAGATGGCCTCCCTTTTCAACTAGATCCCACTAAGACAAGACCAGATTATTTGGTTGGATGATCGGGAATTTCCCAAGTTATTTGTCAGGAATATCGCTCATTAACCATCAATGTAGAACACAACACAACAAAACATCAACCATACGACATCTAATATTTTACAAATACTTTTAATAGCGAGATACCCCCTCAATAAAACGGCTAAGCCATAAATTCTGTAAATTCGAGAGCAAATTGTAATTAATGAAGAAATACAATGAAATTAACGATGTAAATTCCATGGAACTAGTATTATCACGTTTTGAAATCGACGATGTGGATAAGTTAGGTATTCAAACAATTCGACTGTCATTTATTAGAAGACGCTTATTTTGAATTAACATTAATACAGTATTTGTGAAAACAAATCGATCAAGAAATATTCCAACATGATAGATACTGTAGGAGATAGACTTTAAGCTTACTTGCACATTATTATTGGTCTAGCAATACTAATAATGATGCAGTAAAAAGCGAGAGGGTACTCACCTAAATGACTAATCATTTGAAGATGAAAATATAAATAGAAAACGAAGAATAATTCTTCGAGATCTCAGTAAAGCATCAAAAAAGCGACCAATATTAATCAAACACAGTTTCAATAACGTCGATGATCCAATAAGTGATATATAAAAACCTTGGTGTCTATGTTCGATGATTGTCCAAACAAATCAATGGACTGATACACAACAAGTACTAAAATTGAACAGTAATGAAAATCAAAGATTAGCGATTGAAAATAATGACATCATAAATTTGACGTAGAACGCGTCAATCTAGAAAAATCAATTAACGAGTTATTAGTCAGACTAAAGTATATAATCATATACTTGACAATTTGATTCGACAGTATTTAATAAATATCAATTAAATTTTTTGAAAATCACGCAAATTTAAAGATTTTATATGTTCGTTTCCCAAGAAACAATTTCATTTTTAAGAAACGCAATGTTTGTATTTCTGTCAAGAAATACAACAAATGCCATTAGTTAATCAGGTTGAGAGGATTCGTGTAGCAAAGCGAAACGATGCATACATCAACGATGTACAGTATTGCAGCGTCGCTAAGCGGTTAATTCGTAGCGTAGTGTTTAATGTGTAATCGAAAACTTTATGCGATAAAAGAATTGCGCACGGAACGTTTGAATTCTCTTCAAGGGTCCGCACCTGCTCAATAAGAAACCCTTGAATATGGGTTCAAGGCCTTGTACAAGGCCACATTCGAAGCCTTGCCCGGCTAAACTCCTCCTCCATAATATGTTGACTTCAACAAGTTCTGTCTTATGGGTGAGGATAATATTAGACCTCGATTTCTCTGTCCAATCGCAGGCATCTTTTGACTTTTCGTGCACATAGACACAACATTTCCGTGCAATTGTCATTTCATATTAAACAAACGTTTGGTAACACAATTCAATACATCTGACCACTAAAATTTGCCACGTTTTTCTACTTTGTACCTCAAAACTTTCCGATTCACGACATTTCCACTACTTTAGAAAGTTTTCGACTAATTTCTTTAAGATGAGACTGAAAAAGGTGGCAATCTTTAGTTTCTTGTATGCAATAATAGCTCAAGCACAAGCTAAAGTTTATTTAGAAGAAACCTTTTCCGATGACGAGTGGCAAGAGGTTAGTGGAGGAGCAGTCGAGTGAACAGTCTTGCGATTTGAGAACTGCATATTCAAACATTGCGGTTATTTTTTATCGTGATGAAGATAATTTTACGAATTAACAAGGGTTGAATGTTGTATTGATATTCTGTTGCTTATTAATTTTGTTGAATCGCTTTCCAGCGCTGGACAGTTTCGAAACATCGCGATGACCTGGGTGTCTTCCGCGTCTATCCTGGGATATTTCATGCAGACGCTAATGCCAGTCGAGGTCTAAAAACATCACAAGATGCAAAGTTCTATGCAATATCGTCACAGTTAACCGAGACTATAGACAATGCTGACAAGCCTTTAGGTTCGCGTTTTGTTTCTTTATTATTCATTTTTTGTTTCTGGTCTTTATCGTCTTTTCGGGAGAGGGCAAAAATGCCACTACGAATGTTCTTCAATTGGGATATGTTATTAGTGCTGATACTAACTATGAATTGCTTGTGGTGTCGAATAGTTGTGCAGTTTACAGTTAAGCATGAGCAGGGTATCGACTGTGGTGGCGGATATGTCAAGGTAAGGCTTGGATCGAGTTCTGGACATGTAGGACATAGAGTGTATGCGGGAGAGAGAATGTGCTGTAATGTTGTTCGGCTAGGCTTTTAACTATTGAATGACGACCGTAAAACTAATTTAAAGTTTATTTTGTATATTCACGTGCTATATATGTGCTTGGTTTCCAAAGCTTCTTCCACCAGGATTCGATGCTAACAAATTTGACGGAGATTCAAAATATAATATAATGTTTGGGGTATGTGAAAGTGAAAGCATGGTGCACATCAATTGCGCATATCATCGGCATAGTATTGGCGTTGATAATCGTGATGCTCTGCATACCGATGGAATTCCGTTCAGTATCGACTAATTATATTTCCGTTATTTATAGCCTGATATATGTGGGTTAAAGCGTAAGATTCATTTTATCTTGCATTATGAAAGCCAAAATAAGGAACTAAAAAAGGAAATTGGATGTCCCATCGACGAATACACACACTTGTACACATTAGTAGTACGACCCAATCAGGTATAGTAGTTAATAATTATAAGCATAATGATAAGGTATACTATAAGGATACGTCATGACCTCATTCATAAATGTTTTTTTTGTAGACATATTCTATAGCACTAGATGACAAGGTGGTGTCAGACGGGCTACTTACCGATGACTTTGATTTATTACCACCTAAAGATATTAAAGGTTGGTACTAGCATTGGGTAATGCCGACACTGATGCTAATGCTAACACTGTAACCTTATTTTTGCAACAGATCCAGCTGCAGTTAAACCAGCTGATTGGGTAGATACTGAGAAAATTATTGATCCAGAAGACAAGAAACCAGACAATTGGGTTGATGGACCTGCATTGATTCCTGATCCAGAAGCTTCAAAGCCAGATGACTGGGATGGTAACAAATAAATTTTTGGACATAAAGTTATATGTCTATTACACTTCTTTACAACAAGATTGTTTCAAGTCTTGAGCCTCAAAATTAACCTCGGAATTTTCATCCTTATGAACCAGATGAAGCAGACGGCACTTGGGAACCACCTCAAATTCCTAACCCGGACTATAGTGGACCATGGACACCACGAATGATTCCTAACCCGGACTACAAAGGACCTTGGGAAGCGCCATCAATTCCCAATCCTGACTATCATGATGATCCTACCCTTCATGCTTTCAACACCGCTTACATCGGCTTCGATCTATGGCAAGTGAAGTCAGGGTCTATATTTGACAACATTCTAATCACAGATGATGTAGACTACGCGCAAGAATTTGCTGATAAGAATTTCTTTGACTATCGTGATGCTGAAATCCGAGCGAAGCAAGAATACGACAAATTAGTGCAAAAAGTAAAAGAGGCAGAAGGCGAGACTGATATTGGCGATAATGATTCGGAAGAACAAGATGACAAGGAAACAGAAGAGGCAAAGGAACCACCGGTATTAAAGGATCAAGAAGAACCCGATGAACTCGATAAACTATTTGCTGACTATGAGAAAAAGTTAAAATTGGGCATTAAAGATGAGCTGTAGATTTATTCAGATTGGATTTTATTATTTTATTTCATAGAATAAACTAAATTAAATTTACCAACGTATGACATTTTTACGTTGAATTGTGAGTAGTTCATAATATAATATTGCTATTGCTGCTATTGCTTATCAATTTGATTAGAATCGCTATATAATTCAATGTATATAGCTCACAAGCGAGTTGACATTGTTACTACGGAACGAATAAATAAATATAGACCAACGATTGCACTTACATTCGTGATATACAGTATTTGTCTTCTTCAAATGAATGCTCACCGATATCACTTCTGTGTGCACCTCAGCAAAGATAAAATGGCAGCTCTTAACCGTTTGATCAGAGTGAATGGGGTGGACTTTGTGGAATATATTAGTAGCTTATACACACTCTTTGTTTTTATCCCATTCTTATGGCCATTTTCCCTTCTCAAAATTAGCCAAAAATATTAACAGATATTCAGAATAATTGGGATTATCTCAACATCACAAGAGACATAAATGGGTTCTAGAAAGTAACGAGATTACGCAAGCATCCGTCCTTAATAATATTATAAGTAGTCCTAATTTAAAATTGCTCGCACTCAATTTGGTTAGCGCGTACAAGGGAATCGGATAAAAAACGCGCTTCTGCATATTAATTAACATTAATATTCTGAATGACAGGAGTTGGCTCAATGGAAGCGATATCGTAATATCACTGTAACTAGTTGTGTTGTTTTTATTTCTTCGTTTATACTGTTCTCTGCAGTTTGGTTCCGGTCTCAACAGAACGTCCTTGTCCTTGGCTCTTTAGCTCAAGCGAATGTGCTGACAAGGGCCTGGATGAACTTGATGAGCAGCGTAAGTTTTTTCGGATGCTCGAGTTATTATACTCTTATACCCGCGAGAGGAACCTAATTCTTCCTACATAGTCAAGCAGTTCCGACAGAAGCGTGACGAGTTGAAAGGAATGCTTGAAGTGGAACGTACAAGTACTAATATGTTGGCGGTTGTTGGTCAAACCCAAAGGAATTCTCATAATGATGATAACAACGATAATGAATACAAACAACAAGTAAGTTTATGAGGTGCGACTTTTGCCGAGAATCTCGTTCATTGGAACATTATATCAGTGCGAGAAGAGTTGGTTTATCTATTCTAATTACGCTTATCTAATTTATATTCTCAATATATTTGTATAATGTGCACATTTAATATAAAGCTTATTGAACAAATTGTTTGTATTCCTAAACGATCCGAAGGAGAAGAGCTGCTGCGATCTTATCGTCTGACAGGGAAGACGATATTTTCGGTTCCTAATAACGAAATTGGATTGAGATTTGAGACATTCTTTGGAGGTACATTATATTTTTTTTATGTGAGATAAAGAGCCGACAGTGTCACTTATCACATATTCATCGTTTAGGACGTTATCATGAATCATATTATATCATTCTTCGTTTAAACAGAGGCATCGATCAGCTAGAAATAGTAAAGCACACAATACCACATTTTATTCCAATAGCTGATATTCAAAGAGAACATTTGAACACCAACATAGACGTAAGGACATCGCATTGCTGTATAATCATTAATTACAATTTCGAAATGTTTACATCTCACATGCTGTCTTTTTTTCCCCACTTTTCAGACATTCATCTCAATAATCGATAACAACCTACAGGCATTTGTAGCAAGACGCGAACAATTATCGCAATTAGAGAATGTCAATGGGGCAGGCAGAGATAACAATTCCGAATAAACTCACCCCTACTCGAGGCGCTTTTTACAAAAATTCATGTTGGATTCTACATCATATAATATTATATGTTTCATCATACTCGAGCTTGATATTATTAATGATGATGTAACAACAAACTAGATTACTAGAGGCAATACGAATGACAGCGATCCATATGAAATCTAATATTAAAAAATACAAATGTCAAAGAAATATAAATATGAAAGACAAGATAAAATACACAAGCACGAGCAATTATCAACAAGAAAAATTGATAAGAAAGTATGTGGGGAAAAACTGTTACAATGACGCAATGTTTCCAGAACATAACGTAGCAAAGCATCGGTAAGAATGTTTTTGCTTCCAGAGCACTTTTTCATTAATCACTCATGCGTCATTAGCCCTAACTAGCGACAGTATGCAATATTGCACTTTCTACCCTTTTCGACAACCAAACATTTGTATATTTCTCCCTCACTCTCAAACCGCCATTATCATCCCCCCCATCATCAACCATCTTGCTCTTGTCCTGGCCAAGGACAATAGTCTTCCTCGTCCTCCTCATCATCCCCCAACACGATAACGTAATTCTCAGGTACCAGCCCTGTTTCTTCTCCCATATCAGCAACCAGCCAGCCTGTACATTGTTGAGATCTGACAATCATAATATCTCCTTCCTGGAAACTCATCTCACTAGGCGTATCGGCTTGAAAGTCATAGAGAGCCCGAGCCCGATGATTAGCGTATTCGTATCCGTATTCTTCTTCGTCTGATGAAGGCGGGTATGTTTCACCCCAGTGTCGAGGATCGTCTGGTGGAAAGGCAAAGTCTCGGACTTTGATTTCCAACGTTGCATCCGTGGACGTTAGGAATAAAGCCGATGGGCCTACATAATATTAAAGCGATGTATTGTTGATTGTTAGTATACGCTATAAATAATAGTCAATTGAAAAGTTATTGCTCTAGCCGTAAAATGTTAGACACAAATGACTTTGCAAAGAGCGAAAGTTAACAAAGCCTCCACTATCAATAAAAGCTAACCGTTATAAACTAATCTATTAGACATCTTAAATTGACTTAATTTATCCCTTTCATATGTACCAACCTCCAACAGTCCCTTCATTTAAATTGCTCACTTAATAATTATTGAACGAAAACAGATAGCCAATCAAAAGGCTTAAGATTTTCGCGTTCAAACAAGCGACGAAAAAAATAAAAAATAACACCACCCTTCCCCCCAAGAGAATTCAACAAAGTTTCCATCTTGATTCTGACATCACCAAGCGAAACAAGAGAATACACATATATGAACCTTTTTTTGTTTCATTGAAAGAAATACTGGTAACTGCTGTTGTAACGTTTGACTCCGGGGCCATGAAAGAGAGTTAGAGTAGGATGACGGATTTGTGTGTAATATTAATATGGGCGAACGGAGGAAACTTTAATAGTAGAGTGATAAGTATGGATGGGGGAAGTGGCTGAGAGAAAGAATTTATTTATTATGAGCGAGAACCTTATTTGGGATATAGTAATCATCAACGCCACAAACAAATTTCAGGGGTGTTCAAAAAACACAGGGCGCCACATTTGGTATCGCGTTCCACCTTTGTCGAGCAACAGCAAATGTTCTTTGTCGGGCTGATAAAAAGGTAAGACAATAATTGTCATGTTCTGCAAGACACACGATTTTTTATTGTAGAGGATTTGCAATATTCTTTGTTCATCAATAGAAGAACATACTTTTTACCAGTTACTTGCCAATTTCAGTAATACATTGCCGAGTACTAGTACTACACGCCAAGGGCGGATGTCGTCATCAAGTTAATTAATAGAATACTAGTTAATTAAAATAATGATTACAAATTGACAGATCTTAATATAAAGTTATATCATGGGCTAATACCGCAGCTTAGAATTACAATCACTTGTGTCTTTGTTAAAATATTTGGTTGTTTGCATTTGGTGTTGTCTTTTATACATGAAATAAACAAGAGATTTCCGGCTGCATTGTCATTGTTGTTATTTAAAAAGCATCCTTTAATATAAAACAAAGAACTATTATTTAAACATGAGGATAGTATGTGTTGATTTCTACTAACGTTAACAGAAGCAGCATCAAAGATGTTCTTTATTAACTTATCCACCAATAAAATCCAAAATATGTTTTCCGCAAACCGACTTACATCATACTAATACTAATACGTTCCGAAAACTTGATGGCAAGACATGTGATCAACTCGCGAGATTATAACATTCGCACGTGATGCTCAGTTACTATTGGCTGCATTTTTAACACTTACAATCGTATGATCTTTCGCAGTGTTAGGAAGACAATTGTATTTATGATTTCATTTACGTCGTTGATAGTCTCCCATTAATTACATTATTCAATGATTTAGTGACTTCCTACAATATTACTACATATCTCGAAAAAAGAATGTGTAAAAAAAGTTGACTGTTCAATCTCTTGAATGTCTGAATAATACATGATACGTACGTATTAGCTCTTGAACTTTCCGTTTACACTTGTTAGTTAATGAAAAAACTTCTAGTAATATGATATCTCTTATTAATATGTTATTATAAATTGTATTGAGGATATTCATGAAAATTATTAGTGACTTGGGCCGATTATGATATCATTGTCAAGCGGCAATATAATATTAACACTAACTTCGTTTTCTATTCTTATCTGTTAGCAATTACCTGATATTCCCCCAGCATCCACTTATCTTACATCCTCAGTTTACGATTGCATTTAACATCGTCAATTGCAAGTATTAATATTAACCGCGCTGATAATAACGCGGGTAGTCCACTCAAAACTGAAAGGCTAATTGATGGGCATTTTATTAATTGGTTTAAGCATTAGATGCCTGTTGCGAGACATGGTTGTCGCGCACATTTACCAGAAAAATCCGGGCGACATGGAATAATTCATACTTTGAATCAGAAAAGCAAAAGACACGTACAAAACAAAAAAATCATACAATATTTATTGTTTACAATGTAACGGTCTTCTATACCAAATAGAGGCTTAAAAACCCCACCCCCGTCAAACTTAACCAGTCTTCAGTCCCTCAATGCATTCCATTATTTTTTCTTTTATTTCTGTGGCCGTAGCTACACTCTCAAATTTGATAGCCAATTGAACCGGTTTCCCTTCTTCAATAGCCCCAATTCTAACAAACTTACTCTCAATCGATATGCTCATATCCGGGAATAACGGAACGTTAAGAATATTGCGTAATGTACCTTCCGTCCACATCAACAATCGGATAGAAGATGGATTGTCTAATTTCCTGTTCAACTTGAACGGCCCTTTACCACGCTCTTTCCAATCCGAATTATCAAGCCAAAATAACTTTGCCGGTGTCTTTACGATCGTCTTTTCGTTCTCTTCGCCAGTTAGCAGCGTAGCAGATGGTTCAGTCAATGCAGTGTCAGTACGGAACAACTTTGTTGGTGGTTCTATTTCTTGCGATTGTCGTAGACTAGAACCTTCGTCCTGTTCTCCGCCGTCCTGGTCATCAGAGCTCTCTTCGCCTTCGTTGAATTCGCTGGCAGTGCGTTTTTTTGCAGTAGTCGGCGATATTGTGGGCGATGTCGACAATTGAGATGATGGTGATGATGGCCGGGAAGAATCGTTTGAAAGCCACGACTTGCCAGCTACATTAGATTTTGAGCTTACATCAAATATATTTGTTTTTGATGGCGTCGATGAGACAGAATCCAGGTCGGTTGCGGTAAGCGATCTTGTCAAATTTGTTACTGCTGGAGAGAATTTCACTCCACTACCAAACACGCTCGCCCCACGCATGGATTTTAGACTGGGTGGTATAAAAGCTGATGTTTTGTCGGCTACTTGCTCTGAAGACTGAGAAACAGTCGGAGAGCTATTGTTAATTTGCTCTAATGGTGACGAAGTAGGTTCTTCATTTGGTTTGGCGGAAGATTGTTTAACTTCAAGTTTTTGAAATTGTTTTGTCACATTAGCTTCTTTGGTCTCTATTGTCGTCTCGTTGTCTGCGTCGTCTTCGACCTTTGCAGGCAGAGAGTCTTTTACGTTGTCTTGTTCACCACCCATGGCAGAATTAAAAAAAAAAGGCTAATGTCTGTAATTAGTTATATATATATATATATACAAATACTATATATCTTTCAATGCGCAACGAAATCAATCGTCGTAAGAGAGATATATTCTGTTACTTTCAACAAGAAAAAACTGATCACACAAAAACCAAGATTATCCAAATATGGTATGCTCGCTCAGGTCATGTGTCATTATGCGTTGTTGATCCGTATAAATTTGCATGCTTCCCTCCCCCAATTTTTCGAGTTAAGCAAGTTTTACCTGAAATTTCCATACAACTTTAACATATTAATATTTCATTTTTTTTCTTTTTGATTTAGCATTTTTCACAAATGCTAAATATTGTAAATAGTTTCCCTCGACACACATTCGATTTCTTCAGATATGAGTTCTTTCTTGCCACACCTAGTTCTTCGTGAGATACTTGAACAGCTTTATTATAGTGAAGGACTGAACAGTCTCAACGCGTGTGCCCTAGTTGATAGACGCTGGTCGCAAGTAGCAATACCTTTAATATGGCAAAACCCATTCGGTTGGGACAAGCGCAATCCCTTTGATTTATTCATTCAATTGCTCAATCAAGAATGCAAGAATTCGATTGACATGCCGATACTATCGTCATTAATTTCACCAGTGCATGACTATCCTTGTTATATCCGAGAACTCGATTACTGGGGTATTATGTTACATTGTAGTGAGTGGTTGGATAGAGTTGATTCTAGAATTGATTATGGTCGTAAACGACATCTGAGGAAACAAATTGTGTCTGCAATGTTGAAGATGTTCGTCGATCATGGCGCATTGTTACATAGTCTTACAATTGTTAGTGCTGCAGCCTGTTCCTTGGACGAAGATGAGATCCTAATTCTTTTTGAGCCAGAGATTTGTCCAATGCTTTCGAGAATTAATCATTTTATGGTGATCGAAGAATGTGTTAAGGATAAGTTATTTCGTCGAATGGCAGAAGTATGTCGGGAGCTGGTAAGAATGCATAATGGGTGGAGCGGGGAGCGGGAAGGGGGGGGGGTGATGAGGCGGTTCTTCTGGTATGAGATTTTAATTCCGTTTTCTCTTTTATCTATCAGAAATCAATGAATGTTTGGTTGACGCGTGCTAGTCAAGTATCTCAAAATGCGCTCGAATCAAAAAATTTGGCAAAACTAATAAGATCCCAGCATCGGTTAGCATACTTTCGATTGTGGGGGGTGGATATCCCGCATGAGGCGCAGACGGCTATTTGCGCACTTTCATCTCAATCTCAAACTCTAAAACAGATAGAGATAAGTGGGTATTCATTTATAAATCCTGAGCCATTTGCAAGCATGGCTGCATGCGTCAATTTAGAGTCGCTGAAACTAAATTGGTGTAAAGTCGATAAGATTGCAGAACCACCGCTAGTCGAGTCAAATCTCCCTTGTCTAAAGCATGTCGAGTTAGATGGGAGAGTTCCGTTTCAGTTAAAAATATGGGCAAATCATATAAATGATTTTTTATATTTTATGCAGAATGATTATGGTATTAACGTAGGGTAATATGAGAATATTAATATGCATTAAATAAGTGAGGAGAGGGTAATATAATCGTAATTATAAATTAAATAAATTAGGCTTCGCCTTCCCCATCAACATGAAAATATGTCAGCGATAACAGAATTTTTATGTTATTTAATATAATATACATTTAACCTCCGCAGGGTGCAATGATTTAATAATGGAGATGAATCCCATGCCCCCCGGTCGGTTATTCTAATGGTTTTTAATTGTCCCTGCTGTCCAAGAAATTCTATAAATAAATTATGATGGCAAGATGGATACCAAGTGAAGTCTCTAATTTCATGACATTCAGCCATTGCCCTAACCAAAAGTAATTCGAAATTTAAAGAGCTCCCAAAGTCCAATCTCTGTAGGGTTCTACCGCAGTTAATAAGTAACGCTTCTATTATCGTAGACGGTACATTTGTTTGAGTGAAAACCATTTCCTTTAATTTAGGAAATATTGCAGTCATAAGCGGTCGGAAATTCTCTTCAGTCAACAAACCGCAAGAAGTTATATAAATCTTTTCAAGGTTGGGGCAACTTGTGAGAGCAAAGTCGTTCCTCCACCAACGAAATGTTACGGATTTGAGTCTTATCGTTTGCAAGGTATTAGAATGATGATTTAATGCTTCAAGCACATCGTTCCAAGGAATAACAGTCCATCCCAGTTCAAAATGGAGGATACGCTTTTGCGATCTGATCAGTCTGACAAGCTGAGGGGTATCAACCATTACCTTACCGGCATGTTTGGACCAATAAGTTGTCAATCGCCATATTTTTACAGTCTTCAGATTCTGAGTCGTCTCGGCTAACTTTGCGAATGTCGATGCAGCGGGACTATTGACAGTCCATTCAAAGCTTGTTATTTTTGTCAGCGATTCTAAGGGAATATGATGTTGGACCTCTTCATAAAGTTCCAAGCATCTGCTAAATCTGTCAATATCAAGAGAGAGGACTCTAAGAGCTTGAGAATGATTCAGAATTTTCCTACACAAAAATGGCACAATTTTTTCTACAACAGAAAAATCAGTGCAGACACTCGGGACTCGAAAAGTCTTTTTCGACGACTCGCCAGCTATTAAGCGTTTCATTAGAGAACGGATTTTAGGTCTGTCTTTGCATGCCTCATTATCTCTCATTATCTTTGCAAATTGACGGTAATCTACCCAATCTCGTACAGAATTATATAACCCTTGCAAATGAAACTCCTTGAGGAGAGCAACATAATTAAAGAATAGACTCTTTGAATGTTCTATTTGCAAGTTCATTGACCTCCATTCCTCTGTCAGCCCGAGACATGCAATATAAACTTCTATCAGTCTTGATCTTTTCTCAGACTGCTTGATATAATCAGGTTCCCAGGTTCCAACAGGATTTGGTCGGAAATGAGGAGAGAATGGTCGTCGCCATAGAATTTCGACTGCTGCATAGCACCAGTGTCGACAGACAAACAAGCAATTGAATAACGTATCTTTGTCGTCTTGAAAATTAATAAAAATTCCATCAAGACATTCTTTCGGTAAATGCTGTGATAATGCCCTTGAACGTTGCGGTAGACATGGTATAAACATTGTGAATGAAAGAATTACGTGAGAATGAGAGTTGTGCAATTCATTCATCATCTCACAGGTGGGACAATAGTCTCTGAGAACGGACATATTTTATCATGCATACAGGGTCGGTGCAACACTGAATAAGATGAGCAATTATAGCAAGTAAAGCTATAGTTTGCTGAGAACGGTCATGCAGGTAGGGACAAGTGCAGCACTGAGCAATTATAGCAGGTAAGAGCTGTCCACTTGCATAAATGTTACATTACATTAAATGAATCTGTATTGGAGTGTTTACAAATATTGATAACCTCTATGAGATGAGTCCACTTCACAGATTGTTCCTACTTTCTTTGGCCCACTCGTGAACGACAGGATAATGGTAATCAACATTATAATCGAATTTCGTATTATAAAATTTTCAAGGAAAACGCGCTTATTCCAATAAACGTAATTCTATGGGAGAGATAAAATGGGCTTGCCGCATCCATTAAATTGTTTTAAAAACAAGTTCCAAGATTGAACTGAATTTTCCGCAAGATTGATGGCGCGTTTTGAGATTAGAAAGGTAAACTTTTTAAATTAACAAACCAGTTGACATAACTTTTGGCAAAAGGAATTTTTCAAACAATAAAATTTCATTCCTTTCGTACAATCGATAACCTCAAAGAAAACATAATTAAAAGGCTGCTCGTCATACAGCATGAGTGTAGCAAGCTTATAAAAACTTACATTTAAAGTCATTATTTGGTTATACAATATTTGATTACTGTATTTGTAACATAAGAGGGTCACCTGACGAGATGTTAGCCGGTAATATTACTATTTCTAAACGTTATCGCCTTTGCCTGCAACGTGCGTGATAAAGGGAATACCCTCGTTTTGACAGGAAAATTTTTTTATCCAATTAAAGCCTCTATAACGAGAGGCCATATACAACAACATAAAAAAAAGAAAAAGTCTGACAGTGGTCTTATACTGCAAACATAAAATAGCTTTCTTCACAACCGACGTATGTTAAATAGAAAATGGGAACCGTGTACTGTACTTGAATGCTAATTATGACTTGGCAGAGCTACTTGAATTAATATACATATGGTTATAATACGAAAGTGATTCTATTTACATCGAAGAAACATCCCGGAGGAGTTACATTAGTATAGTATGCGCACTTTTATATATGTAGTGACGCCGATGTTTAATCCATACGTAAGCATGCACTCGGGGATTGTTAGCTATTTTATCGTTCCATGAATTAATTTTTAATTATAGACATCTTATTCTTCGCTGCTAGCAGAACGTTTATCTAGACATCAGACCATTATACACGATTATAATTATGGAGCGTAGAAGTACAATATTATTCTATAAGGTATACCAGTGAATGAAGTTGAGAAACTCCGTGGCCCAAGGATAAAAAAACCGACTATCAATGTTTTTCTCGATCATCAGCAATATATTGATAATGTACCTCAGCAAAGACATAGCAAACGAGTCTAGACACTTAATACTGTATTTTAATTTGATCGATATAATTGCGGCAGATCAGATTACGTCTGCTACTACGGATTGCGTAAAATTTCCCAAGCTTTTATGTTTAAGTTTTAATCCGTCACATCAATAATAATAATTAATTTCGTCTAACTTTGAGGGTGCATTTCACATGATAGTCATCTGATTACTAATAATTTATTATTTGGAGAGTTCAAAAAACCACTGGTTGTTCGATCTTCAAATATTACTACAAAGTCATGAACGCTCAACAGTCTTACACAGCAGGATCTTACGGCAACTATGCATTACCATATGTGCATGGACCAGTTATCCAACAGGGAACCCAATATTATACTTCTCATCCTTATACTAATACTCAGTCCCAGGTGCGATTACAATCTTATACTTTCTGCACCTAGTCAGCCCAGTTCGTTTCGCAAAGATTAGTCTTCTAAACACCCGAATTTTGATTTGGACCTGGTTGCCATAAATATCATGGCTTTTGTGTTTTCACATTGTTATAAGATCGTAGAAGCTTTTGCGAAGTAGAAGCGATGATCGATAGTTATGATTACAACTTGCGATCTAGTGCAAAGTCTCATAGATCGGCCTCCTTGATAACGACCTACAAGCCTTGTACATAATAAGTTCTAATATATTGATCGTACCCACTCTGGTAAATAGGTATTGCCATCAGGTGCGACGACACCAACACCGCAGAGGCTTGGAATGAGCCTCCCTATGCACCACATCGCCGGTAATCCAGCAGCTGGAGTTGGAATGGCCTCAATGGGTGGTCAACCTATTCGACGACGACCCCAAGCGTATGCTGAGAATTCTATGATGATGCAAAGGTGAGATCCGATAATCTTGTATAGAAATGAGCGAATCGAGCGGGCAGCGGGATACTTTGCTGCAAAATTTATGCGTTGAAAATTAATATGGATTAATGGAAATTGTTTCAGAAAGAAGGCTAAATTGTCCGATCGTAACATGCCCGGAAAGGTAAAGGGTTTGGGGCTATTGTGGCGGCTGTTTATTGTAACATCAATGATAGAGTTATCTAATTTATTTGACATTGATGAATAGATTGAGTCAATTGTGCCTGAATCGCGGCTTTATACAGAGCTGCAAGCATTTGAGAAAAAGCTCGATGCGACTATCTCGCGAAAAAGATTTGATATTCAAGAGGCGCTATCGGTGCCCATGAAGGTGGGGACACAAAAATATGACATGTGTTATGGTTTTTAATTTATGCCTTTTCTGCTGTTTCTCTTGGCTTTACTGTATTAATAGAAACCCCTTTGATTAGAACAGACTAGAAGGACATTACGTGTATTTATATCAAATTTGTCAGCAAATCAAGATAACGTTGATACTGTTATGGGTTATGACCCATCGAATCCACCATCATGGACATTAAAAATCGAAGGACGACTTCTTGACGTACGTTCATTTTATTTATCTGGCCGTTTTAGATTTGCATCTTCGTTAACACAAAAACTTTCTATTTGCAAAGCCTCCAAATTCATCTTCTAAAAGCAAACAACCTGCACGCAAATTTTCGTCGTTTATAAAATCATTGCTCGTCGAGCTTGACGCTGGAGGTACTGTCTATGAAGAGGGTAATTTAATCGAGGTAAAGTTTAGCATTTTGCTATATAAAGTTACGTGACCCTCTCGTTATACAAGGGATTGTTATAACGGATGTTTTACTATCGATTCTTCAGTGGTTGAAGGCTTCAGACACGCGTGAATACGATGGTTTCGAAATCAAACGTAAAGGAAATACAAATTGCAAAGTCAAGATTGTAATGCAACTTGACAGCCAGCCAGAAAAGTATAAACTATCGCCACAGTTGGCATCGATATTAGATATCCAGGAAGAAACAAAGAGTCAGACGATAAGGGCTATGTGGCATTATGTCAAGGTTTGCAGAATGTGATGTGCATAATTTAGTAAAGCATCGAGCCTTTAAGAGACTTAATTGTTCATTTGTTGATTGTAACACGCGCAGCTGCATAACCTACAAGATCCAGAAGATAAGCGATATTTTAATTGTAATCAGCCATTGCGAGAGGTAATTGTTATGAAATAATTCAAGCCTTTTTCTTTCTCTCGTTCACAATTGGAAACGAAGTATTTTTTTTTCCTTCGCGATTGTCATTGCACATACTAAAGCCATTTCGGTATCATTGTTGTTGATTAAGTTGTTTGGATATCAAAGACTGCAATTTCCCCAAATGGCCGATCTAATCATGAGGCAACTTCAACCACTTGATCCCATTGTAATAGAATACACAGTTCGGTGAGTTTCCCCGACTTTTTTTCTTCTCACTTTCTATCTCACATTTTTTCAATAATGCTAATTTTCATTATATCATCCTCAGTGCTGACAAAGAATACCAGCAATCCAAATATGCTTACGATATAGAAATTGTAACAGACGATACGCTTCAAGCAAAAATGTCGTCCATTCTTGCAAATTCTCTCTCACAAAAGGAAGTCTCAATGTGTGATGATAAAATTGTCCAATGCGTACAGAGCATCAATAATTCAAAGATCAAGAGAGACTTTTTGTTACGGTTTGCCGAGTCGCCTGTTGAATTCATTGAAGAATGGATCAAGAGCCAGAGCTCGGACTTAGAGGTGAGCTTCAGTGGGAATAGTCGAGAGGGATGAAGAGATAAGTGACAGGGGTGTTACTTTCTCGGTGAATGTTAATTGTGCCTATCCTGGATTTCATGTATGCCATATTTATTTGTTCATTCGTTTTCTAGTTGATCCTGGGTGAAAGTAATGCAAACATTGAAGAACAGCGTCGAAGTGAATTCTATAAGAATGATTGGGTTCACGAGGCTATCTTCCATTACTTATCTGCAAAGGTATTATAGTAATACTTGCTGTTATGTTATGGCGGCATTGACATGTTTGTCGTCGCCTTTATAAACCTTACATAGAATCCCAAGCGACCCAGGACATAAGATTTTGATTTGCGTTCCCGCAACAAAAAAGAATAGCTCTTGAGATATGTAGAGAGTGCTATCGAGCAAATAATAACATAGCGTGTATTAAAGTTAGGTAATAAACAAAGACTCTTGTTTATTCACCGGTTATTGGTTGGTAATGAAGAGAAGAATATCGAAGATGTAGTGTTACAACGCTAGATTTGCCGGAGTCTGATAATAATGTCTTGTTAAGTGATTCTTTTCAGATTAGATTATACATAGTCAACCTCGTTAATCCGAACCTCGTTAATCCGAATTCCTCGTTAATCCGAAGAAATATTCTGGTCCCGAT